ACTCATCTACTTCCAAACTAGCCGTTGGACAGCTTTCAGAGGATCATATTCCAATCTTCACCTTGGACAGATTTATATAAAAAGAATTGAGTAGCCGTTGGATGACAGATTCTGAATCCCGCTGATTCTGGTCGCCCATACAATCAGAATTTTGGTTTCCATAAGTAGAGCTTTATCCGTTGTAATGCATACTTGTCGTAATCTTTGATTGTCAATTAATTTGATTGAGATCAAAGCTTTCCTTCTGTGAAATCCATAACGGATCACTAGTTGTTTTGTTTCGTTACGAATTACGCATCGAAGAAATGCCGTCGCATCGAAGAACTTACGCCTCTGCGTCGAAGAACTTGCGTCCTTCGAATAATTTCTTCGTCCGAATCTTCGAACTAAGATTATGTGGGTCTTCAATAAGGTATTTGCCAGACTTGTAAAGTCGAATAACTTCCTTCTGAGCTTCCAGAATATACATACCTGGAATAAATTAGTTCAGAATAAGTATCAGATTTATAATAACATTGAAGGTTTTGTCAACTTCAAAATCAATAGGAGTTTTCCTCAACAAAGTTAACGATTTAAAAAATTTATGAAAAAGTTATATGTGAATATCATGAAAACATTTATATTCGTGAAAGCTTCGCACGTTTCGGATTTAAATAAAAGTTAAAGTGCCCATGCTGCCACATTTTAATTAAACAAAGAGAAAAAAAAGTAAAAGTTCATCCCAATAAAGCCTTTATAAAAAACAGAGATCACTAAGGAATCCAATATCTAAAAATTCGAGTGGTCGGCTATTTGTTTTGAAAGCGATATATCATCATATTTGAATCACTGCTTTTATCACTTGCACCGCCACGCGGATGCGGAGTCTGACATAATTCACGCGGATAGAGCGGTTCGCTTGCATTAGAGTCGAAAATTCGAACACTCCGAGCCATGCAAAAAAAAAAACACGTAAATATTTTAACACTCCCCTTCCACGGTAAATCGAGATTTTGACCTAAAAAACGAAGAGAGAATGAAAATTGACTAAGAGGAGTCCAACGTGTGGTTTGAAAATTAGGTGCTGGGTAAAAGGCACGAGCGCTGACGGTTCATCTAAAATCGCAAAAATATTTAAGAAATTGGATTTTAGACGTTACACATTTTTTTTTATTTTTCTAAACTTATCAACCACTAATTAAATTTAAGATGTCGCCCACATTTTTCTGCATTGGTGTGCACGCCACGTCAACTTTTGAGAAGTCATGACGTGGGGGTCGCCAAATCCTCGAGCCGTCAGCGGTTTTGCTTGTTCGGGAGTCTTTTCTCTTCTCCTCTCTGTGGGTGAAGGCCCTCGACAACGATTGTTAATCTTTTTTCTATCTTTACTTTAATTTTCATAAAAAAAAATTAATATAAACGAGGCCAGAAAAAAAAGGGTTGAATAGGATGTTGGTTAATGTGTGAAAAAGGGAAAAATAAGTTTAACGATGTGAAATATTTTAAAAAGAAAAGGCGAAAATTATGAAAATGATCATTAAACTTTGACTTAACATGCAATGCAGTCCATGAGCTTTAGTACAATGTGCAATATTATTCCTGAACTTTTAATATGTTCAATGTAGTCCTTAAACTTTTTGTACATGTTTCAACTAATCCCCAGACTATATGGAAATGTTCAATGTTGTTCTTGATTTTAAATTAATGGAAGAATAATATTGGATATTTTCAGACAGTTCATGGACTAGTTTGAATATTTACTAAAAGTTCAGGGACCACATTAAACAAATTAAAAGTTTAGGGACGATATTGTATATTGAGCTAAGTTCAGAGACAATATTGAACAAATTAAAAGTTCATAAACTACATTGCACATTAAGTCAACGTTCATGGACCATTTGTGTCATTATCCCAAAGAAAAACGAAGTAGTTGCGAGATGATAAAGATTTAAATTTAATTGTAAAAAGTGAGATATTTATAAGATTATCTGATAATTATTAGATTTCATCCTACTTTATAATCGTGCGATTGTAGTATATCTTGACAAATGAGTCAACTTTTCTTAGAGATTTTGGATAAAAACTTGAGGACAGACATGTAGGCGAATTCACTTTATATATTGTCGGAAAGACATGGAAGGTTCGGATTAAAGATATGGCATATATATGTATTGTTGCAGCATCGCGTGAATATTTGGATGCTTTCGCTTTTACGAGAATGACAGTGAGTAGTCTATTCATGGAAGAAAACAATTTACTGAATACGAGTTCTCTCTCGCGTCCATTCGAACTTGGTGCTCAGCTTGATCACGGAAGTCCAACTACACTATAGCATGATGAAATAGCGGAGATCGATGGAAATTGTGCAAGAGAGTCGTAATCTTTCCTTTCTCGCGCCGAATTGTTGCGATATCAATGGTCGACATCGAGAAAGATGCAAGAAAAACGTCTAACACATGCTCTTACAAAAGGGAACATATGTGAGGTGTACAGTATAAATTGGTAATTCCTATCTTCTTGGTTCTACAAATTAGAGGTATGCAAAAAAATCAGGAACTGCCAGGGACCGTCCAGAACTGGACTTGAACCGGTGGTTCCTAATGGAACCGGTCTGGTTCCCGATTTCAATTTTTGGGAACCGGTGAGTACCGGTCCGGTTCCCAATTCTAGGTGTGGAACCACCCGCCTGCTTACTCGGACCAGACCGGTAATATAATATAAAATATAATATATTTATTTACTTTTTAATTTTTTTAAAAAAGAAAAATCATAAATTCTTAAACTAAATCTAAGTCACTTGACGCTTACAGCCTCACATTAAGCCGAGAAATACCTTCTTTCGCTTTCGTTTCAATCTCAATCTCACTCTTCTCGATCGATGCTCACTTTACCATTTCCGACTCTCCATCTCCGTCTCCGTCTCTGTTTTCGTTTTTTCGTCTCCGTCCTTGGCTAGTGTGAGCGGTTTCATGGATCTACCCGGGAATCGGATCGGACCGGCGGTCCGGTTCCTAGGTGAATCCATAGAACCAACGGACGGTTCTTAATTTCAATTTTTCGAAACCGGTCCTTAGTGGGCGGTTCCCGATTCTAGGGTGGGAATCGCCCACCCGGACTATGTTTACCCTTACTACAAATTATTGAGTTAAATAAATGAATGCTAAATATTTATGGATTTTCATTTGGTTGCATCATTGTACCTCATAGTATATGTTATCCCCTGCAATTTCCAAACAAATGGAAATGAAGAATGTGCATTATTGGGGCTAGCATTGTGAAAGTTATATTTAATATATATAGTATCAGTTCCTATCCCCTTCATTGAATAGTAATTGTGCCTGAAAAAAATAAATTATCTTGGAGTCACCTATACGAGTCACAGCTGTGGGCACTGCTGCACAAGCATGGCCTGCCCAATTCTTTCCCTAGAAAAGAAGAAAAAAACACTTTAACAGCATTGCTCACTTCGATGATTTATCTATTGTATCTTGCTTCTTAGTCGGAGGATGGAAGGGTCATGTTTTAATAGATAATTTGCCAACAAGTCACCTTGTTGAACACTTCAATTAAAAAAAAATTATCATTTCTAATCGACTGACTTTCTCATATCATGTGTAATAAGTGTATTGAAAACGAAAACATTTTCCCTTCGAATATGGTTAACCAGGACATTCGTTAACGAGACCATCTTCTTCATTCCCATGGGCTTGCAGTTTAGTGACTCGAGGGACACGTAAATAGTACGTGAGGTGTGGACGCACGTTAACTTCCCTTCAGATCAAGTGTAGTTATTCATTTGTAAAAAGCGCTCGCTTCGGATATACTTGTGTTTGACCCGGTTTTATGAGGTTAGTGATGTTCGAGTGGTTCATTTCTCGAGTTTACTTAACAAAAGCGATGATTCTTATTATAAGAAAGTCCATACATATGCATAACGTGGGATATATATTTCTTTGGAATTAATCTCTGTGGTCCATATTCTACCAAAGTTTGCTTGCACGAACACATATATAATCCTTTTCTTCTATTCTCATTCAAGTGTTGAGCAGCCTGCTTCCCATGCCAAGAAAATCAACAATTTTAGCACATGGTTCAGCTCAATATACTAGCATTATGGTCTTCATGATTCACTGCAAATTAGCACCATAGTCAACCAATTTTTCCTTCTCGCGCTTGACCGGCGGCAGTCAATACAGATTCAAAGCCAGGCTCATGCCAACAGATTGCCCTTCCCTGATATAGTCTCTCAGTACCCTGTTTTGGCAAATTCTATGTGTAGATAAGAACAAATTAATTCATTTAATTCAAAGCTAAGAGGGTTGAGTTTCCCCCAAAAGTTTGAATTTGTTGACAGTTGACCAGTCGATCGAACGAGAGCTTTCCTTGAAATGGTACACAGAATGTCGAAATCAATTTGCAGTAGCACTAAGTCGTACTTTAGCAAACCCAAATTAATTAATTAATAAATCGGACGATGGTTGCGAGGTAGGTATAAAGGGAATGTTACTTTTTTGTCAAGAAAAATGATGAGAAACGGAGAATTACGGAAGATACGGACGTATGCAAATATATATTTTTTTAATAATTTAAAGGCGCGAGCACAAAGATCATTTGTAATATAAAAAAAATTAAGATAGTGGGCATTTCGTGGAATTATATTGAAAAAGTTCGACATGAAATGTTAATGCCTTTTATTGATAGAACATAATTGATAGAATCGTGATTTTCATTAATATAGACAGATCTCTCGAATGATCTCATTAAAAATTCCAATGTTAGAATTTCGCAGTAGATTTGCATATCTTTAGCCAATAAAATTTAAAAGGAAAAACTCTAGATAATGAACCGACCATGAAAAAAATATCTTCCTTCTGTCAATGAAGTGGGAGATATTCCCCCATCAACATAACAATGACCTCCTTAATCAAACTTTATAAATAAATAAAAAACCATTTTGTACACGTCAAACATTATTCTATTTCAGCTCCTTTCCGGCCTTAATCCGTGTGCGTGACGATCGTGAATATTTTCACATTTATATCACCTGCGCTGTGACGCCATGCCTTAGCCTTAGCCCATATATCACCTCCATCCTCGCCTCCTTCTTCAGCGACTCTCTCTTTCTCTCCTCTCTTTCGCACCCATTAGAGCTCGACCCTTTACGAATTGGTCATACCTGTTCGCGCCTGTTCGACAAAGCTCCGATTTTGCTGCACGATTCCGAAGCTGATTCGCGGCCGCGACCAACCCAGAGAGGCCCAGGGACCGGCTTTTCGCCAATCGGTGAGTTCTCAGTTGTCTTCTCTCGGTCAAGTCTTTGACCGGTTTCGCTTCAGCAGTTCTGTCTTCGTGTTCGTCTCGGCTTTGTATACTCTTCAACAGTACCGTTTCGTGTGTGAGGGCGTTTGTTGTTCGTCCCTGTTTTCTTGATCTCCGGTGATGGTTCTTGCGTCCGCTTGGTGGGGTTTTTGTGGCTTAGAGATTGCGGAGTCGGATTGTGAATTTTTTTGTTTCGAGGACAATGGTTTCGTCTGTGTCTTGCTTCTTGTTATATGGGTGGCCAATGGTTTTCATTTATTTTAATTGTTCGTCTGTTTTGGAGCTGGATTTTATGTTAACTTGTTCTGATTTAGGCGAAGTGAGGTATATGGAATCTATATTTCCTTGTGTTTCAAAGGTTGCTAACAGCGATGAATTCAAATACTTTTTCGGGGAAAGAATTACCTTCAGAATTTGGATTGCAGCTTGAATTTCGAATTCTACATCATGTATCTTCCCACTTCTTTGAATCAGCAAAACATGAGCATATGGCTTATGTCATCTGATTTTCTATAAAGAATCCGTGGAAAAGTTTAATTTCTGTTTCCCAACGAAAACGTCTTTTCTGTCCTTCAATGAAAGGATATATATGGGAGTTTCATGTCTAGGCTGCTGAAATCCACTCCTTAATGGGATTGATCATGGATGTTATAAGGTATTTGTGACCAAGTGGGAAAGCAATTGAAGATTTATGTTTCTTACCATAATGGGAGGATCTCGAGTCTTATGGTCACGGTTGTTGATGAATTTATTGATTCGGTTGGGTGTTCCACTTCTAGTATCATCCACAGAATGGCGAACCGTGACCGGTGGATGGATGCCTTTATGTTCTTAAAGAGTTCTTCTAGAGAGATAGATAGATAGATAGATAGGCATTCGGCAATTATTAGGCTCATTTGTGGATGGATGTACCATTGAGATATTCCTCATAGTTGAATAATCTTATATTAATATGTTCCTCTTAGAATAAGATTATGGTCAGAATCACAGATTTAAGCGTTCAGAAGCTCTTGATTGAACGAACTTGGATATGGAACTCAGCATCTCTGATACTTTCCGTTTGCCTGTTTTCTATGGTTTATTAGAGATTCGGTCATCAGCAAAGTACCTTGATTCAAGATCTCATTCTGAATTTCTGAGGTCTGTTCTGAAGCAGATGCTAGAGCCTAGTTACTCGTGTTAGTGTGAGCTGATTTTGATTAATTATCCCGAACTAGGGTGGAGATTTATGCAATTGTACTGAAGATTAAATTACACTGGAATTGTGTGTTTCACAGTTCCAGACAACCACTTAATAATATTGGGGGGCAAGTAGATGATAGCATCATATGTTACCAGCAGATCTGTTTACTATTTCTTTGTATCTGCTATTGAACCACTTGTAATCTGAGCTTGTCTTCTTGGGCATGATGCAGGAAAGGGAAAAGAATTCCTTTTAGCGTGGGCAAGATGTCGATGGATCCCCATACTCATGAAGATGTCGCTCATGTCTCTAGTGATGTAATCAAATTTCCCTCAGGTAGCCAGAAATCAACATTTGCTGGTGCAGCTGACTTGGAAGGAGCCCGATCCAGTGGTTTTGAGTGCAATATTTGCCTAGACTCTGTGCAAGATCCTGTGGTCACACTCTGCGGCCATCTGTACTGCTGGCCTTGCATCTACAAGTGGCTTAAAGTTCAGGATACTTCTGCTAAAGAGCTAGAAGAGCCGCAACAGCATCAATGTCCTGTGTGCAAAGCCGAGGTTTCGTACACAACTCTAATTCCACTCTACGGCCGTGGCCAAACTAGCCGACTTTCCAAAAGTGAGGATCGAGATCTGGGCAATGTTGTACCCCGTAGGCCACTTGGTCTGGTTGGCGGGCCCAGCACGCCAAGACGGATTAATGCTACCTCTAGTCCTCTCCTAACACAACCACCTTATGGTGGACATTTCCATCTTCAATCACAACCATACTATTCTCAAGCTCAATTATTGCATCACTCGGTTTCTCCCATGCTCAGTCTAAGTGGCACAACCACGAACATCATCTACCCAATAATTGGTATATTCGGTGAAATGGTATATGCAAGGCTTTTCGGGAACTCGGTAACAAACTTATACACTTACCCAAACTCGTACAGTATGGCCGGAAACAACCCTAGGATGAGGAGGCATGTATTGGAGGCAGATAAGTCGCTCAGCAGAATCTGTTTCTTCCTCCTATGTTGTATTCTGCTGTGTCTGCTTCTGTTCTGAGCTAGATTTTGCTTTTCTTCATTCCATTTTTTGTGTCAATGAGATCGTGAAACAAATACGGGCACGGCCAGGTACACCAGACATCTAGGCAGTCGCATTTCCTGAGCTGCAATACATGTACAGTTCTAGTTTGGCTTCATGAAAGCTATAAAAACATTATGCCTACGCTGCTTGTAACTTCGGACCTAGGATGATATGGAAAGAATTTTTCTCATCTTATGTTTGTGTTGCTCTTTTGTCATCGTAAATGGAGACGCACATCGTGAATCACTAGGTTTCTCTGTCTCGCTCCTGTAGTTCCTGATTCACCGCCATTCGAGGACCATTACGATATGTGCACAGCCAAAGGTACTATCGAATCATGGACTAGTGCTGGGTTAAAGTTTCCTCCTCCGAGATAGCCAAAGAAACACGTGTGAGAAGTGATAAGGCATTGATGATTCAAGACAAGAAGGGTCCCATTCTTAATGACCATTAAGTACACTTACTGAACTTTGGGATGGATGGCTGTACAAGTTGATGAAATGTTGTGGCTCACGTCACATGGGGATTCACATCAAGGCAATAACTTCCAATCGGGGCAGATTTCGCTCTGTCCTCTTTCGATTCTCGTCCTTCAAGAAAGGAGAATTGTTTACATTATTTACAGGCAATGCAGAAATCAAATCTGCTTCGCTCATCTTTTCCAACTCCCTTCACACGTTTCTGATGCCACAGACCTGAGACGTTATGGAAACTTCCAAAACAGGGTCATTGCCTTTGCTCATAAATGGCCTACTAAACTCTCCACAACAGACCAAATGCCACGTTTCTTGATGGAAGACAGCAAAAATGATCTTCATGGTGACGAGGGAGCTGTTGAATCTGGAAGAAGCAGGAGACGACACGACACGACCTTCGTAGGGAAGGAGCAGGTGGACAGAGAGTGTTCGGTAGCCTCTCGTTTTCTGTCTTCGTTTCTGGCTATGGATTTCTGTGAAGTACGGAGGAAACAGTCATTCATTTATGTTTTAACCAAGAAACCAAGTGGATGCACACGAGGGATCTATACTTGGTCCCTGTCATGTTGCATATCAACTTGATGAAGATATGATCTCTCATAAAGCAAATGTTTGTAGCTTTGGTGGTGCGTTTATAAATTATTATTTTTGGTCTCTCGAATCTGAGCATGCTTCAATTTTCTCTGTTCAGTCCTTGAGAAAATTATGGCCCATTTGATAACCTAATTAAGTACTGAAAAACTAAGAATTCATAACTTGATGAGACTAAACTTGTTCGATAACTTTAAGTAAAATTGACTTAAGATATTCAATTAATTCCAAACATCCACGTAATATGGTAAGTATGATTGGGGTTACTTAATTTGTTCAATAGATAAATGATTGATGGTAATTAAAAATCTTGCTAAATATATCGATAAAATCTACTTACAAAGACGGTTTTTTTAATGTTTTTACTAAAGATAGTAAAACTCATATACTAAATAAGTTTACTATAAAGTATGTGGCAAAATTGTAAATACTTTCTCAAGTTAGTGGTCCATTCAAACACCCAACATGATTCGGAGAAATGCGATGTGCATTATAAACATCTATAGCAAGATTCATCTTAATTACTAATCTTTTTGGTTTAGCTTCCGGGCCAACTTACGTATAACCGTTGCGGGCGATCTTAAGGCGCACTCCCCCCTCATCGGCCTGGTGAATTCAAATGTTATTATATGCACGATTCCAGGATTGTCGGATTTTTTTGCCCCTCGGCACTGCCTATGCTAATCTTGCCAGCATGTTTTTACGATTAACCTTGGAAAACAATCACATATCACAAACAAATCGAACAAATAAAGGTGTAAAAAAATAATCATCAATCACTGTAAAATTGTCAATCAAACTCAAAAAGAATGGAATGAATGAAGAAAATATTGCCAATCACCACCTTATACCCAGTATAATACTGTATACGTACAGCCTCTCCTTACGTACACAACTGTTAACTGCTAATAACTTGCGTACTATATGCAATCTATATCTGTGCGCGTATCTGTAATTAGAACCAAATGACTTCCTTTCTTGTTGCATGAGAACGATGCAATGCCTCCTTCATCACCCCCCACCATCATCAGTTGATGATGGGGCTTGGTCCGGAAGGCGGCACCGGCGTACCCTTCGGCAGCTTAATCAGCAAGGGCTGCATCCTCCGTGCGAGCTCACGCTTCGGCTCCCGATCCCCACCTCCTGAAACCCGGTCACGGATCATCACAGGCCGCGCCTGAGCCACCACCGCGACGAGGCAAGCGACCAGGGTGACAACCATCAGCGCGCAGAAGACCCTCTTGCAGCTCTGAGGACGAGATCGAACATCCATGTTTCAGGTTCTTTTGCTCAGAACTTGCACGACGGAAGGGTGCTTTATATGGCGTCTGGCCGAAAGAATCCATGGTGAAATATTGGCCGGCTTGCTTAGACTGAGATACGAAGGTTTAATTAATTCGCGACGACACGCGTATAAGCCGTTCACACCTAGAAAAACAGATGAAGTTTACGAGTTGATGAGATTGCCGGCTCACATTATTGCAAATACGGGAGCAATTGAAAAGGAATTCGAGTCGTTCACTCAAAAATTAATGAAGGGCCGGCAAGAAAGAGAGAGAGTTTCACCTAGTCGTGGGTGCGTATATACAGATTACAGGTAAGAAGTTGGTGGAAAATGATGCATAATTGCATATGAAACATTTCTACAAGACCACACGTCAGCACGAGCTGGCGCAACTATTCCTATGGATGAAATTGAAAAAATCGTTCGAATAATGCCGATTCAGCCAGACATATTTTGGATTTGATCATTTGGGATTTGCGTACGATGTCGTATTAGTCCGTGCAAAGCATGATCTGATTTTCTAATAGGAGACTATTATTTATACAAAGTTATTTAATGATTAGGAGATTAAGAAAGAGAATGGCAAATCGAGCTGCTTTCACATTTGCACTCTTGTCTTGACCTAAGACTTATGATGACGAATGGTTCTCACGCTGCTTTCCATTTAGAGGATTCTGTTTTGCACGCCATCGATATAAGCCTGATTTTTTTTCATAAACGGTCTTATCTTCTGCATGTGAACATCGTAAAGAAACGGTTCGTATCGAGTTCCAATGAGAAATTAATCGGAATCGTGCTCGTGCATCACATTTTGAACACGGCTCGTGACAATCAAGATCACGCCGGTTAATTAAACTCCTAACTCAAATGATAAATTTGGCGAAAGCAGTGGCAATCAATTGATGCATTTGCTTGGTTGGATTGAGATTAGAACTAAAATTACTATGTAATTACAGGCATCATTAGATTAGGACTAGGGGTGTGCAACGGGAACCACCCGAATCGGGAACCGCTGGACCAGATCAAACTGGTTGATTTTGGGCAATTCCCAAGGGCGCCGGTCTAGTTCCTGGTTCCATAAAACTAAAATCAGTGACGGGCGGTCCGATTTCGTGTTATAGGGTGGGAAGCGGACCGCCCGGATTAGACCGATTAAACATACTAATTATTGAGCAAAACCTACTCGAAGTTATTACTAGGCTCAGTACAAATTATGTGCTATTTCCCCATCAAACTATCATCAATCCATGTGATGATATGCTTTTCACGGACATGAGTTTTTTTTTTTTGGTCAAACACGGACATGAGTTGACTCCTTACTGCATCAAAGGATAATTTTCTCTTTTCTGTTTCCTTCGGGGAAGGATCGAGCCGTCCGTTGCCCCCTGATCGAGGATCGTTGTCAAATCCAGTGGATCAAAACTCAAAAAAGCCGAGGACCTTCTACTTTGAAAGGCTCTTCGAATGCCGTTTGCTTCTTCACTAGTTCCGTTGGACCGCTCAGGAACCGATCATCCCTAATTAGGACCTTTGAACTTAAAGTTTTTTGCCTTCTGTGTGGGCCAAATCTCATGGATCGGGCCGGATTATCCTATCGGGCTCGGATTGCTCCGGACCCGACAAGCTATTTAAGCCCGGTAATCTCGGACCGGGTCGGAACATAAGACGAACTCGGCCCGTGATCACCGTTTCGACTCAATTACACCTCTTTCTCCTTTCGTCTCCCTCCGCCTCGCTTCCTCTCTGCGTTGTTGTTCGGCCGCCGACAAGAAGGGAAGCGGCGCGCTTGTTCCTGCCTCTCGGCGACGTATTTTGTCAGAGACATAGCTCGAGACTCGGGTTCCTGCTCGTTTCGAGAACGCGGAACCGTTCGTCGATCTGGGTACATCTTCTTGCTTGCCGTTTGGTTCTGTATATCGTGATAATGTTCTGTCTGTTCACACTTTGTCTGTCTCTTCGTATAAAGGTGTGTGTAGTTCGGTATGCACGATGTGGAGGAAGAAGCGGAGGTTTCGGGGTCTTGGGTCGTCTGTTTCTTGCTCTTCTGCGTTAAGAAATCCGGTCACTGATTGCGAAATTCATTCGATTCATCGTGTTCTGTGCTTGTGAACTTTGGGTAATCTTGCGCGTGCTTCGTTCTGGAAGTTTTGAGCTTTCGAATTTCAATCTGTATGTGCTCGAACGGTCCGAGTTGTGGTTGTTTTGGTTTGGTTTTTGCTCAGTCATAGGATTTGTACGTTCTCGTTGTTTCGATGTTTGTTGTTTAAGAGATTCGTTTGCTACTTGATTATATTGTTTTGGTCGCTCAATTTTCATACTTATGTCAGGAAAAGTGATTTATGAAAAGCGGGAGGAAGTGTGCCCCCTAATATAAAATAAGCAAAGGAAGAGTTGCGCAAGCTTGAGCTCGAGCTCAATTATGAGTTTGGCAAAGATTGAGTCAGGTCAATTCAAGCTTGCTAAAAATATTTTCAGGTCAAGTTCAAGCACGGAAAATGATATTTAGTATTGAGTTTGAGTCGAGTCGAGTTTGAGCTTCCGACTTGTGTACTCAGCTTGATTGCATGCCTATTTTCTTCTATGCTCTCTTGCCTCTTCGTTTGTGTGTGTATGCTTGTTCGATTCGAGTATTTGAATTGAGTCTAGTTTGAATATCTGATTTTGTCCACTCAACTCAGCTTGATGTCAACCTTATTTCAACCTTATTTCAAGGACTCCGTTGTGATTTACTAATAGAAGGGCATATCTGCCCTTGCAGGTTTCTTGACCTCCAACAACAAGGTGAGGTGATAAGAGGTTAATACTGAAGAACCTCAATAACTAAATTTCCAAAGCCGAACAAG